ATGTAATGCACCAAAGTTCATTCTATTCCCATTTATTTCCTGTTTTTCTTCTACTCTAACAAAAAAAAGCATTTCCTTTAGAATGATGCATCGAATTGATTTTCAAAATTCCCTTCCTCACTTAAATTATGTGTTTCTCTAAACTAAATAAATAAATCATTTAATCACTTAGTATCCCAGTTATGGAGACAACGGGGAAACGCCATGGTAAATTTAAAGAAACCTGTTCAAAACAATGATAAATACCACTGCAAGTTAAATCAAGATGGAGATGGAACATAAATATAGTTAGAATCAATGACTTTCAAACTGAGAAGTGTTAGTTTCTGTATTCATCTTATACAAATGTATCTACCTCTACCTGCCAACACTGAATGACAAATAATTATATTAGGAGTTGATCTGTCAAAAAAGTGAATCGTCCTTAAACCTATCTTGAGATTAAGAAATAATATTGGAATAAGAAACATGAAATGCTTTTAAGGAAATAATGGTATTCAAAAGTAATGAAACAAGAGGAAGAGTAAAATACACAGCTTGATCAAGTAAGAATTTTTTGGCATAACTTTTTCTTCCAGTTGGTCATCACTAAATCATTCAAAAGGCTGGCAGAATATTTTCCAACCCTGATTGCTACAGTGGAATTACATTTTGTCTTTTCCTAAAACCAGGTGTTATTTTCCCCTACAAATGTAAAATTTCAAATACAAGTTAACACAGAGTTCTGATTTTAATTCTGTAGTATGAGATATTCTAAAAATTTAAGACCAAAAGAAACATGTTAACTTGAGTTTTTCAATGTAGGATAGAAACATAATTTCTTTACTAAAGAATCCCTTTCTAAATAAACTCTAACCTAGTTCTTAAAAATCTTATATAGTAGCTGTTGAGAGAAATGACAAATATTGTACTTTAATTTTTAGAAATACTGTTCTATATAATGTAACTTCAGTCTCCAAAGACTCCTCTGGGTCTAGAAAGTACACTGCTCACTCTATGATATACACCCTACTCAGTACTTAAAATAATTGGATTTTATTTTTAAAATATAACTTTGGAGTAAACTTCATGTCCCTAAAGATGTTTTCTATTTTGTACCAATATGTGAAATGTCTCATTTCTCTTGAAATTCATTTTATAGCAAAAGAGTATCATACTGAATCAAAAGTTTTCTCTAAGATAATTCACATTTTTCTTGCCAACTATAATGACTAAATTTAGATTGTTAGACCAATAAATAGTGCATGATACCTGTTCCAGGTTTTGTACTCCTATATAACAAACTACCCCAAACTTAGCAGCTTAAAACAATATTTTATTTTTTTCTCTTACAGTTCTGGAGGTTGATGGGCTCAGCTGGGCAGTTCTTGTTTAACATAGCTCATAAAATCATAGGCAAATCATAACTGTGGCTGGAGTCACCTGAAGGCTTCTTTACTCATATATCTGGTGCCCAGGCTAGGATATGGCAGGAAGAGCTGGAAGCTGATCTGGCCTATTTTTCCCTCTCATTTCCTCCCCCTCCCCCCATGAGGCTTCTCCAAAGGGTTCGCTTGGGTTCCCTTACAGTCCTGGTACACTCAGGGTAGCTAGACTTCTTACATGGTGGCTGTCTCCTCTCAAGAAAACATTCCAAGTTGCCTGAATGGAAACTTCAAAGCTTTTGATAAGTCAGCTTCAGAAATATCTGAATATTACTCTATTGCATTCTATTGGTCAAGCAGGTCTCTAAGGTCAAGAGTGGGGGGAGTTAGAACCCACCTCTCAAAGGTAAGAGTTACAAAGAAATTGTGGCCATCTTTAATTTACCACACACAATGCCTATTCAAAAAAGAAGATTAACAAATTTCTTAAAACTTTTCCTTCCCTCCATAGCGAATTTTAAGAGATTGAGATTAGCTTAACACCCCAAAACTCAGAGTATCTTAGCTATTTAACTAATTTATTAATTGGTCACTAATTAGCAATGAAGAAAAATGATATGGAAACTAATAAGAAATTTTCCCTAGAGTTCAGTTTGGCTTTATGACAAAAACATTCTTTAGAAAATATTTTTAAATAACTATCAAGAATGTGTTCTGTGGGTAATATCTAGCCATTAACAAAAAGGTGAGTAATCATGCAAGGAATAAGTGATCTCACCAACTTTCAATCCCATTCCATTTACCTTCTAGTTACCAAGAGCATCAAAAAGTGCACCGTGACTTTCTGAGGGTATTTACACTCCCTGAATTATGCCAGCTGCTGTATCACCATCAAATGGAGCCACTCTGCTTCCCAGACGTTCCATGTTTTGATATGTTCAGCACAGTCATTTTCGTTACCCCTAGAGAATTATCATAGAAGCATCATCTGACAGAAAGGTATGTATTAAGCAAAGATAAATGTTTTATGTAATATAACTGATTCCTAAATATAGATTGATGATAAGAAAGTGTGTTCTTCCAATGGCAGGTGATTTCCTTAAATAAAATGGCTGTGTTACTTCTAGGTGTCTGTCCTGGTAATTCACTATTGCTTAACAAACTATTTAAATTTAACTTAACAAATTTAAATTTTTCTAATATTTATTTATTTTGAGAGTGAGAGAGAGAGCACGCACACACGCATGAGCAGGGGAAAGGCAGAGAGAGATGGGGAGAGAGAGAGAAGCCCAAGCAGACTCTGCACTGTCAGCACAGAGCCTGACATGGGGCTCAATCCCACAAATGGTGAGATCATGACCTGAGCCAAAATCAAGAGTCAGAAGTTTAACTGACTGAGCCACCCAGTTACCTCCAAACTATCACAAATTTAATGGCTTGGAAGAACAATCATTTTATTTTATCTCACAAATTTGTAAATCAGCATTTTGGGCAGAGCTCTACTGGGCAACTCTTCCTCAAATCGCATTGACTGGGGACACTCACTGATGATATTCAGCAGGCAGCTGGACTGAGCTGGAGGATCCAGGATAACTCACTCCCATGTCTGACACCTGAGCTGACCCCTTTTACCTACTTTTGGCCGACTTCTGGGGACTCTCCAGGAGGCCTCTCCATAAAAGTAGTCAAACTTCTTACACAAATGTTCAGAGTTCCCAGGGCAAGTGTTCCAAAAGACAGGAAAGGACGCTGTCAATATCATAAGACCTGGGTAGGACACTGGTACAGTGTCACTTATAACAAATTCTCTTGGTCAAAATAGTCAGAGTCCACCCAGATTTGGGATGAGAAGGCAGGCTCTATATCTTGATGAAAGGATTTGCAGCTATCTTTATTTTGGCACAGGGCCCATGAGGAGGCTGACAGTTCTGAGGCCATTTGCTAGAATCTATCCTGGAGTTCCCTTTGGAGTTAGACGAAAGCCAGATATGCAGGGGAGACTCAAACAGTGCGAATTAGAACTAACAGTGAACCAAATATACAGGGGATATTACATTCATTAGACTGAAAGGGACAATTCAGAAATACTAAATGTGAAAACATTTCCCAATTATAGTCAGATAAGAATCCTTTAATATATAAAAGCCCTGAATGGGACATTTAAAAAATTTTAATGTCTTACATCCTCTATTAGGAGGAGAACACCAGTTATAATGCATTACATGCGTCTCTACTTAATCAGAAGTTACTTGTAGAAATAAACTTGTTAATTTTTTAAAGTGAGGTTTTTTTGCAGGGGCAGGGGGCGGTTGGAGATGGGGAAGCATCACTTTTCTCTTACAGAAGATAAGTAAAGTATATGTTAATGTATATATTTTATACCCAGTTTTCAAAGCAAGACTTTATTTACTGCTGCTGTATTAATGAGCCATCTAGGGCAATATATGCTCTCCCACAGATGAATAACATAAAACTTAGGTTAGCAGGGCTCTTCACAATTTAACCTAATACCACTTTCCCAGCCTTATATATCACTTCCCAATCCCACTAGTCAAAGACCACCAGAAACACACTTACAATTGAACAAGCTGGGTTATTACTCACTGCATCAAGGGAAACCAAATACCATGAAGAGCTATTGGCATCTCTGTAAAAAGATGTCAAGACTTAACAAGATTTGGGCTTGTTTTCTGTGACTATGTCTATCTTACCAAATCTCACTTAGCAAAAAGAAAGACTAATCCAAGGTTAAGGTGGTAATTGGTGAAGAGACAGAACTCATCATGTTAGACTGGATATGGTGATGTTTGGTCATTTTTGTTATTTGGACAATGTTATGTTTTGTCTATGTTCAGATATGAAAATGGAGTGATCTTACTCTTTCCTTGATCCATCACTGACACAGAGTAACTTCGTCTGATGCTGATGTTCTGTGAAATTGTTTATGTTCAGCAGAACACCAATCCTCAGGCCAGGCTAACTCCAGATATAAGAAGCTGCTTTTCTCTTTCACTCTCTGAACATGCCATACATCGGCCTTGAGTTTGCTCTGCCCTGTCTCTAATTCTATTTAATAACCTATATTTTTCAGGAATCCTTCCCTTAGCAATTCATCTCAATTTTCTCTCCGACATATTTTGTACTACATAGTGTTTGGTTACTTCTTCAAAGTAAACTTCAAAGTTTATGCTTTGTTCGTATAAGATCACGGTATACACCTCTCTCAGCGCTGGCAAAGTACTGCAAATCACAGGCTCCTAGCATTAAAAGAAAACAAACAAAAAATCCCCAAAAAAGAAGAGGTAAAGGTTTATTTTTGTGTCCCATAAACTCGGTGAGACTGCGTCACTCAATTCAGTACAACTGTTCTGGAATCCGGCCCCCAAAATCCTGATCAGAACTCGACAAGAAATCAGGTTTGACTAAATTGCACGTAGAAACCCCTTGGGCTCTACCCTCCCGGCCTCCCGAACACACACACAGCCACTACCTCTACCCGACCCCCACAAGCAATCCGGCTCTCGCGTCGGACTACGTTTCCCATAGTCCTTCAGAGCCGACAAGGGGATGCCGCGCTCTGAACTACAATTCCCACAATCCTCAGACCCCACCATCTTGTCTCATTTTCTGTGGCCGCTCCCCATTTCCCATCTTCCCTTCCGGGTCTTACACACCGGAGAGCAAGGTCGTGAAAAGAAGAGGACTTGGTTTGGTACTGTCCTTTCTATCGTCTAGGGGCTCTGCGCTTTTCGCAGAACTTCCAACAGCGCTATGTTGGGACAGAGCATCCGGAGGTTCACAACCTCTGTGGTCCGTAGAAGCCACTATGAGGAGGGCCCAGGGAAGGTTAGTGTGTTAGGGGCCCCGTTTGGTTGGGGGAGGGGGCACTTAGCTGCTATTTGCTGAACTCCAAGGCCTCCCAAGGACCGTGGAGAGGGAGACGGTAAGCAGGAGAGGTGAGCTGGGGCGTCGGGTAGCGTTCAACTTCCCCCAGGAGCCAGGGGCAAAGCGCAGGACCCCGGTTGCCCGCCGTCGGCGGGTAAAGGAATCAATAGGAAGAGCCTTAGGCCCCACTTGGCCCTAGCGCTCCCCGCCGCGCCCTCCGAGATCTGGAGGGTCCCTGAGGCCAATGCTGCAGATATTTGTGGCTTAAAGCCGAACTAGAGGTCACCGGACTCGGAGTGAAGGTCGTCGGAAACAAAGGAGGATGTGAGGGCCTGTGGTTGTGGGTCGAGTCTAAGCTAGTTAACTAAATTAGAAGTATTAAATCTCTTTCGTTGAAGTTGGATTTAGCGTCAAGTATCAATAGCTTAAGTCGAGTAGTTAGCAGTAACAACCTCCAGTGATCGAGGCCTAGTAGGAAAGGGCGGAAGAAGGGTTTTCGATGGTAGCGCCGCTTGATTATGAAAAAGTCAGTCTTCGTAATTCAGTTAACTTTGCCGTGTGCCTTTACAAGGTGACTAGTTTCTAACAAATAGCAAACCAGAACAGTGCATTCTTTTTCTAAAACAGGTCCCCTGAAGAATAAATTTTTCGGCTTTTCTAAAGTAAAAAGGAAAACTTAACCAGTGTGATACACCGGAGTTAAGACCACTGCCTGTGCTCAGTAAAGCCAGTGCTTTTTTTTTTTTTTTAAACCTTACAGTGTTGTCCTACATGAAGGTCATAGGATGTAAAACATAATGTTTGAAATAGGATATTATATATGGCATACATAACCTGATTATGTGTAAAAAAAAAAAAAAAAATACCTAACATCCCCTGTGTACGTCTATAATCTATAAAACCAGATGATTCAGTTTCATTTTTGTTGGTTGGTCTCTTTTTTCCCCAACAGAATTTGCCATTTTCAGTGGAAAACAAGTGGCGGTTACTTGTTATGATGACTATGTACTTTGGATCTGGATTTGCTGCACCTTTTTTTATAGTAAGACACCAGCTGCTTAAGAAATAAGGATGTTTTAATTAATCCATTAAACAGGTAATTAATGGATTTCTAATCTTAAAACATTGTTTTTCCTTATACCCCCCCGCCCCCCCCATCACACCCACACAGTGTGTAGGGCTGATTTCTGAAGTTAGTGTAGATGTGGCCTTGGTGGAGACACGTTGGTGAACCAATAAACAAACGTTTCTTTGCCTGAAAGCCAGTGTATATTGGATACTACTGTTTGTCAGGCACACTTTACATTTATGTCATCTAGTTAGACCTAGCAAGCCTGTGAGGTTGGGTGACTTCACCTGGCCTAAGACACAAAGATGTTTAAGTTGCCTCATATCCATTAACTGGTGATGGTTAACCAGGATTTTTAGCCAGTCTTGTTTCACTTCACACACTTAACCAGGTAGAGTTCTGATAGACTAATTAACGTTAGGGCAACACATGTTTGTGCATACCCCAATCAGTCTTACTGCTAGAAGATTAACAGATTGTTTGCGTGAGAAGAAAAGATTTATTTAGCATAATTGTAATCAGAATTTGCCTCCAAGCAACATTTTGGGAAGATCTGTGGAATGATTGTAATAAATTCCAAAACTATCCTTTGGAAAGAAAAGACTCTATTCTTCATAATATACAAGGGAAATTCTTTATCCAAGTGATGCATAATGGAAAGATTTTGGTGCATATGATGAAGCAAATCAGTATGAATAAAGTCATGATACTGTAAACGCTTTCTGATGTACCAAACTGATGGACAGACAATATGTGTATGAAAAGTACATGGTTTCTGTTTTAATAGGTTTTAAATACCAATATATATTTTTTTTTATTTGCAGGTGTGAAAAGGAGCATTTTAAGAGGTGCAGTCTCTTTGAAAAATGGATCAAATTCTTGAATTCAACATACTCAATATGTTTGTAAATAAACTTATGGCATGAATCCTTAATGCCTCTTCTCTGAAACCTGGAATGTAATAATTGTGCTGACTTTTTATTTAGGAAATATTCTAGTATTTGTTTGCTCAAAATATGTGTAAATTTAGCCTATTTCTTGGTTTCAAATTTTGAGATTTAATTTTTGATTACTAGGTCAGGACCTTGTTGGTAATTTATGTTATATAAAATGCAAACTTGACTTTGTTGTCCCAGAATAATTTTTTTTAATTGAAAAAGAGGAAGAAGTTTACATTTAGTCTTTACTTGAAGCAGTAAAGTTGTTTTTCTTCATGAGTGACAATTACTTAATTGTGAGGAAAACCATTAGTGAGTGTATAGAGTGAAGTCCAAGAGCTTTTTTCCCTGCAGACTTGTGATCTAAAACTAAATTTTTTGCCTTGATAAATTTGCTATTGACCAATACTAGTTTTGTTTAGACTGAATAAAAGTAGAATATTTGAAATGAAATGTAATAGCATGCAAGATAAAACATAGAAATACTCCCAAGTTTATTCTTGAACTTTAGTAGACATGGACTAAAAGATGCCTCTGAAGAGTAATTGTATCCGTGAATCAAATTTATGTTATGGATGGTAAAATGCTGTTAGCTACTTAAAATATAATGACGTAGTTCCTAGAGCTTTGAACTGGGGCAGGAAAAAGGTAGTTGCTGAATGTTTTAATCCTAATTTGGTCACTTTTGGAATACCACTTGTATTAGAATGCCATAAAATAGAGGTTGTAAACTAGTGGTGTATTTGAGCTCTAGACTTTTTGGTGATTGGGGGCTATGTTTGGTTTTTTGGTTTTTGGGGTTTTTTTTTAACGTTTATTTATTATTGAGAGAGAGACACAGAGCATGAGCAGGGGAGGGTTAGAGAGAGGGCAAGACACAGAATCTGATGTAGGCTCCAGGCTGGGAGCTGTCAGCACAGAGCCCAATGCAGGGCTCGAATTCACAAACTGTGAGATCATGACCTGAGCCGAAGGCAGTCGCCTAACCAACTGAGCCACCCAGGTTGGGGGGCTATGGTTTTTAAAGCAGTGTTTAAAAACTAGAATAATTACAAGAAAGTCTCTGTGGATTCCTAAAAAATTGCTGTGGGTGGTTCTACATTTCTTCATGGAACAAAAGAGCTGCCTCGCCATAACATTAGAGTTCCTGTATACCCCTAATGTTAAACTACTAATTTGCTGGAGCTCTAAAAACACACTTCTCAGTTTATGTGACAGGGCCTATCTTTACACTCTTCAATAGCTACATAACAACCATTTAAATATAGATACAATTAAATCTTTATGACTTTGCCTGGCTTATTCCCTGTACTTGCATGTCATTGTCCTTTTGTTTTTTTGTTTTTGTTTTTTTTTTTTTGATTATCCATTAATGAATCAGATGTCTACCTGCGTTTTTGTAACGTTAACAGCTTTCTATCTTTGGGAAAGTAGGAAGTTTAAGGTTCATAAAATGATTTCAAATTCTTGGTTCAGATCTGTGCCATTAAATTACAAATTTAGCTGTCTTCATTTTTTTGGAGGATCTAGGAATAGTGTATATCTTGTATTTTGAGATTCAATAACTATATAAAAACATTTTAATTTCTGGCAAGTCCTAAATGATTTTTTTCTCATTTAAAATATAAATCAGACTTTACTTACTATTGATTGGACAGCAGAGTCTAGGTGGATAACATCTGATTTATTATATTTGTCTTCCTAAGTTACAGTATTTGAGGATTTTACATGAATGAGGGAAAAACCTACTTTGCCCATCCTGGGAGAGGAGCACAGATTGCCCCGTCATAAAAAGGCTTCATTCAGCAGCTATACTGAGTAGTAGTATACTCAGAAAACACCAAATGGGATATGTATGTAGAAAGATTTGTTTTAAGAAACTGGGTCATGTGATGCTTGACAGGTCCAAACTCTGGTGGGTAGCGCTGAAGGCTGGAGATCCAGAGAAAAGTTGCTTTTCCAGTCCAAATGTATCTTGGCAGAATTTCCTCTTCCAGGGGGTACCTGGCTAGCTCAGGGCATGAGACTCTTGATCTTAGGGTTGTAAACTGGAGCCCCACAAGATGTGAAGCAGGCTCTGCATTGATAGCAACAAGCCTGATGCAGGGCTTACACTCAAGAACTGTGAGATCACGACCTAAGCCAAAGTCAGATGATCAACCAACTGAGCCACCCAGGTACCCCTGTCTTTTTTTTTATTAAGGTCTTCTACTGATTGGATGAGGCTAACCCACATTATGGAGAATAATCAAGCTTTAATGAAACTTACTCAATTTAAATGTTAATCTCCAAAAAACACCACACATATCCAGAATAATGTTTGACCAAATACCTGGACACATGGCTCAGTCAAGTTGACACATAACCATGACCATTTCATATAAGAATATGCTTCCATCTACCATATTTTAAAGTACTGGCTTGGCTTTTTTTGAAAAACCACCACAGAATGTTTTTGGTTTTTTTCTTCTTTTTTCCCCTATACTGTCTTTTCAAAATTCAAGCCAACACTTAAAACTACAAGATTCTCATAAAAATCCAGATTCTTTTGGAAAACTTAAACTGGAAGGACTCATACACGCATGTCTGAAACTAAGCTAGGCAAAGTAAAGTACCCCACAGGGATGCTTCCTTGACTACAGAATACCTGATTAGGGATGTTGCAAGGGGCCAAAACCCAGCCATTTTCTTTTAAGAAAACTATTATTGTTTCCATAATTAAGCTTTGGCCACCCCAAAGCAGGAAAAAAAAAAAAAAAAAAACTTTTGCTACAGAGGCAGAACAAACGCAGTTAATACAGGTTTAGGACTTAAGATGCTTGGATTCAAAACCAGGCTTGATCGTATATTGTCTTCAAGAGACTGCCTCACTTCCTGTTACATCTATTTAGTTTCAAAGATTAGAAATGGAAATAGGTCTTATTTAGGCAAATTTCTTTAAGTGCCTAATGTGGACTGTTTAACTGAAAAACAGGTGAGGTAGAGGAAACACATTATTTAAGTTGTTCTAGTTGATCCCACAGCCTTTCTACAGTTGTGGGTTGGTATTTTCAGTTACTCCAGCTACAGTTCTAAGTATCCAGCTGATAGTTTAAACTCACCGTGTCCAAAAATGCCTGAGAGCATGTTAGCAAAATGTAAGTCTGATCTTTTTTTTTTTAATTTTTTTTTTAACGTTTTCTTTATTTTTGAGACAGAGAGAGACAGAGCATGAACGGGGGAGGGGCAGAGAGAGAGGGAGACACAGAATCCAAAGCAGGCTCCAGGCTCTGAGCCGTCAGCCCAGAGCCCAACGCAGGGCTCGAACTCACGGACCGCGAGATCGTGACCTGAACTGAAGTCAGCCGCTTAACCGACTGAGCCACCCAGGCGCCCCAAGTCTGATCCTATAGTAAGCTGTCACCATCAGTAAAATGCCAGCTCCTTGGTATGTCATTCAGTCATTTCCCTACAGTTTCATTATCATCCTAGCTATATAGCTCCAGTTTTATGTACCTCCTCCAAATCTTGTTAGCTCAGGTGCCACATTTTCTGTAAAGCTTTATCCTGATGATTCCTCCCCAATATCCCAAACACATTACACATAAGTCTCCAACACTTTGTAAACAGCTTTCCAGTCCGCTCAGCATGTAGTGTAATTACTGATTTCCTTCCCTGTCTCTCATACCAGGGTATATTTCTGAGACCAGGGAGACTTATTTATTCATGTATCCTGCATGTATAATTTAGTGAGTGGTCAATGAACATTTATTGAGTAGAAACCAAGAATGATAAAACTACTTAAAAAGAGCAAATCCCAGGCTTACTCTGCACGCCAAAATAGTGTATGTCTCCATGTTTTCTAGATAAAAAAGTTTTTCCCCAAAGACTCACTGAATTGGTTTCTCCAACCAAATGTATATTGAAGTAATCCAGTTACTGCAGACTCAATGAAAGGAGTTTGTGCCAAAATGTAATTGAGCTATGTCACTGCCCACACTGTTTAGTCCATCTGATACTTTTTGTAGACAAACTTTGATGAAAAGGCAATAGCTGTGGATCTTGTTTGAGACTAGTATTTTGAGAAACACTGATGTAAAGAATTAGGGAATGCATAGTTTTACCTAACAAGGAATAGAGCCCAGTGGACTTAAAGGCCTTCTATCGTACTCAACCTGTTGTTCGTAACGTCTTGCTTTGTTTGTCATATGATGGCTGCCATAGTTCCAAGCATCCCACACAGATTTGACAATATCCAGCAAGAAAAATTACTGTTTCAAGTTTTTAATTTCAAGTGGGAGAGAGCGAGCACAAGCAGGGCAGGGGCAGAGAGAGAGAGAAAGAATCCCAAGCAGGCTCCATGCTGTCAGTGCTGAGCCCAGAATTTGGCTGGATTCCACGAACTGAACCATAAGATCATGACCTGAGGCGAAATCAAGAGTCAGTTGTTTAACCCATGGAGCCACTCAGGCACCCCTGTTTGAACTTATTTTTAAGCGTGAAGAAAGATTGCCTAGAAATCCACTCCTCATTGGTCACAAGGGTCATATATTCATTTCTAAATACAACACTAGCAAGGGGAATGGCTGGTACCACAGTGATTAGATTTGAGCAATTAAGATTTCTCCCAGGTCTTCTATGGGAAGAGTGGGCACTGAAACAAATCTGTTTTATACTGGAAAGGGGAAAGAAAGTGGCTTTTGGTGTGTGAAAGTGCCTGCTGCAGCTAGTCTGTGGAGTACAGACGGCTCTCAACTTATGATGGTTTGAATTAAGGTGTTCAAACTGTAATGGTGAAAGCTGATATAAATTCAGTAGAAACTATAATGCTTGAGTTTTGAATTTTGATCTTTTCCCAGGCTAGCAATAAGCAGTAGGATCCTCTCCTGTGATGCTGCACAGCAGCAGAGAGCCACTATTTCCTGTCAGCCACAGGATCACCAGGGTAAACAACAGGGTTAACAAATATTCTGTTTTTCACTTTCAATACAGTTTTCAATAAACTACCTGAGATATTCATTTTATTTATTTATTAGAAAA